GCGGGCGAAGGGCATTTTGATATCGCATATCCTTCTGATCTGCCGCGGCCTCGTGTGTGTGACGTCTGGTGTACATATGACCTCTGAATTGACTCAAAGTCGTCGGATCTCTTCATGTACATGTCTCAAACAGAGAGAACTGGTGCTCCACAGCAGAGAACTGGTTCTGCACTGCAGAGAACTGGTTCTGCACTGCAGAGAACTGGTGCTGCACTGCAGAGAACTGGTTCTGCACTGCAGAGAACTGGTGCTTCACAGCAGAGAACTGGTGCTCCACAGCAGAGAACTGGTTCTGGCTGGAAAGGTCGGTTCTCGCGGTGTGGAACTGGTTCTCCCACCACGGAACGTCTGCCTTGTTGGTGTCGGTCACTTGGCCATACAATCAGTATTTGACCAACTTCAGTGCCGTCGCTACATATGGGCTGACAAACGATCAGGAACTGATCAGTATTTAATCAATGTCTCAGCGGGTCGGGCTGACATATGCACCAAGAGCTTACACACTTGGAGGGGGGGCTCTGCACAGAAACGAGCCAGGAATGGCCTGGCTGCCTGCGTGAAGAGTTGCAATTGGAGAAGCTCAACAAGCTGCATAAAGGACACCCATCATCCACAAAGTTGCGCGTTCCGTGCTCCAGTCAGTGATTTACTGCTTTTTATGGATGTTGCACTTTTCGAGGCTACCTAAGCTTCTTCAGAAAGACGCAAATTGGTACAAGCGCAATTCGCGGACACACTTGCTCCCGCCATGTCACCGTCGAAGCATACGACCACACATGCACGACACATGCACACACACATACACAACAGTGTGCAAGTGAGGTGAACGTCGCTGGTAGACCGCTGTGCGGATGCTGTGGGCAGACGTATCGGTCACCACCACAAGCGTGTAGATGTCAACAAACACACACTGCACCACCACACCACACACATGACACCAGCCACACACAAGTCCATGGCGGGGATGGTCAACGCAAAGTGTGATGGTGTGGGTGCAAGCAACGTACCAACGGATAGTGCGTAACACGCCACAGAGACCAAAAACCAACAGAATGCCACAGTCAGACGGTCACCTTGCACCACCATCCAGACACAGAGAGAGATGTGATGGATGGGCAGCGATATGTGTGAAGGCGTGTGTGCACGTAGCATACCAATGGTAGTGAATCACACGCCCCCGTGCAAAGCGACCAGCCAAACACAACACAGACCCACACCCTGCACCACCATCCATACAGAAAGACCGATGTGATGGATGGGCAGCGTCACGTAAGTGGGCGCCGGTGCAGGTAACGTACCAGCAGTAGTGAGTGACACGTCCCGTGTGTACCAACCGACCCAACTCACAACCACACCACACAAACCAACCTGCGCACACCATACGATGCAACACAAGCCAGCAGTGAATATGGTCCTGGCTCAACGAGCGAGTATGGTAGAGATCCGTACCAGGGAGATGAGCTACGGCCAAAAGGCACGCCGAACACACTGCATCCACACGACACGGGAGAGTGGTGATTGCATGGATAGAAGTGTGCTTTGTGAACGAATATGTACCTGCAACGTCACAGAGGTGCCTAGGGCGTCGAACATGGTCATCCGCAGGGCTGCGAGCTGGTGGACCGTAAAACGGATGCAGCAGACCCACTCCACTGACGCATGAGAGACACAGCACCAACCGCCGGCCAAAACCATGCGTGGATACAATAGGCCAAAACCATGTGTTTAAACACAACCGTACACACACACACACACACACGCGACACACACACACGCGTGCACACAGACAGACAGACAGACAGGCCAGTCAATTCATCCGTCCGTACGTATACCACAACAAATTGAGCGGTTCTGTACAGTTCCCGCTTGTGTACACTATCTCTGTACACTGCCGAAAAACGCTAAAGGCTTCACAGCCAGAGCGCCAAACGGCCAGGTTTTTGACATGGAGACAAATCATTCGCTTTCTGACATTTAAGGCAGAGGGATTTTATATCAATTCGAAGTGTCTCTGTGTCGCTCTAGGGCTGCCGCAATGTACAAACGCCTCATACGCTCCTCGCCGAAACATCCATCTTCTTGGAGACTAAAAAATGCGTCGGAGACGAAGGGCGCCGGAGCCGAGGGAGAAAAGAAGGCATTGGATATGGCTCCGGGGATGTCAAGGTCAGAGGTGCGCTTCTGAGAGTGCTAGCAGGCTACTTCCAGCACCCGGTGGCCTCCTCTGAGTCCCATCTGATATCTGAGCTCTGAAGCATGGGCGACCAGAACATCTGATCTAGAGTCGGCAACGTACTCACAGATCTCTAACTGCATGCCCCATTTGCTGTCTCAACTGTGACACATGTTGTTAACAGGAGATCACAGGGATAAGAGAGAGAGAGAGAGAGAAACATGTGTCGACTGGTCAAAGTGTGTGTGGTTGGGGGCCTTAGGCGTGACCCTCGTCGCTTCTCAGTGCCCTTCTGCTGCCGAGGACGGCGGCTTGATTTTCGACGGGAGATGGGGCAACTGTCGAAACTGTCTAAAATTCCTGCAGGGAGGGGGGCAATAAGCAAGGACGTCGACCTGTATGGCCGATTTGAGTCGCGACTTCGCGCCGTCAACTGCAGCGGCGTAGTGGTGTCCTTCTTTCTCTTTAAGAGAGCAAGTGAGGAAGACGACAATGAGTGGCAAGAGATCGACGTAGAGGTGCCCGGCCAGAGTACTAGGCGTACCATTTTCAGAGCAATATCATCGGAGGTGAAGCCGGCAACAGGCTTTTTTCTCAACAGCTGCACGGGAGTCCTCATGGCAAGTCTTTTGCCGAAGACTTTCACACATTCGTCATCGAGTAGACCCCCGACTCTCTCAGATGGCTCGTCGACGGCAATGAAATCAGGTCTCAGACCCACTGCATGCACTTACACAGTTCTAAAAGCGCGATTACAAGACCAACTTGGCAGCTGGCTGGGAAGCTAGACGTAGGACAGTGTATAGCTACACCAGCGGGTTACCAGTCACAAACCCGGCGACGGCTGTAATGCGGCGACGGCTGAATCTGGAGCTCCTCGCTGTCTCGTTTGGCTCAGCACACGACTTCCGCTAATTCCGAAGATGGACCGGAGTGGCCGCAGCCAAGCAGCTCTCCTGGCGATACACCAGCCCTCATCACACTCGCGGAAGGACATAAGGACGACGGCAACGTGGTTGCGCCACCCCAGACTGCACACCAGGAGGGTGGTCGGTCTCAGAAACGTTCGATTCGGGATGCACACAAATACACACAAATACGCACACATCCAGAAATACTCAGTGCATGCGATAATCAGTGTCAGACAGCCATCAGCCAGGCCCCATTTCATGACTGCCAGTGATCGTGCGAGCTCGGATTCGGGACTTGGTTGTGATGCGCATTCATATCCTTTCGGGTCAAGGATATATCGACATCTGTGTGCCACGCTCACGCTGACATCGAAAGGATATGAATGCGCATCACAACCAAGTCCCAAGTCCAAGCTCGCACGATCACTGGCAGTCATGAAATGGGGCCTGGCTGATTGCTGTCTGACACTCAGTCCTTCCAGCTAGGATTTGACTAGGAGACGCTCAGGAAACACAGTGAACCGATTCACAATACATCGTTCGCTTCCGAATCGTGGCTGTGCTGCTCCTGCTTCTCATAAAACTGTGCTGCAGCTCATTATTATGTTCTTTTGATAGAACAACCAGTGCGTCTGACCTCGAGTCCAGACAAAATACGCAGTACTTTCTTTGTTTGGGAGCCGAGGAGATCCCCATGGGTCGGCTGGTGAAATGTGTGTGGTTGGAGGCCTTGTGCGTGACGTTGGTCGCTTCTCAGTGCCCTTCTGCTGCTGAGGATGGGGGCTTGATTTTCGACGGGAGGTGGGGCGGCTGTCAGAAACGCCTGCAGGGCGGAGGGGCAATATCCAAGGACGTCTACCTGTACGGTCGATTCGAGTCGCGGTTTCGCGCCATCAACTGTAGTGGCGTGGTGGTGTCATTCTTTCTGTATAAGAGAAAAAGTGAGGAAGACGACAATGAGTGGCAAGAGATCGACATAGAGGTTCTCGGAAAGGACGAGGCGTACCATTTTCAAAGCAATATCATCGGAGGTGAAGCCGGCAACCGAATATTTTCTCAACAGCTGCACGGCAGCCCCGATGAAAAGTCGTTCGCCGAGAAGTATCACACATTCGCCATCGACTGGACGCCAGACTATGTCAAATGGCTCATCGACGGCAACGAAATCAGGTTAGTTCAAGCAGTGCCATCGACGGCAACGACACACGGTCTCCGGCTTTTTGAATCCAGATATGTGTCGAGTGCTGATAAAAGCGTGAGGATCCCCTCCAAGCCAATGGAAGTGCAGCAGTCCGTATGGGCAGTCCACCCCTATATCGAGGATTGGGGAGGGTCATTCGACGAAAGATGTCTGCCTGGAAAGGCAGAATTCGATTGGGTGCGAGTTTCCTCCTATGAACACGATACGCGACAGTTCATACCTCTCTACGAGGAGGATTTCTCTGAGAGTGGCAGACTTCTAGAATCGTGGGAGGGTGGCGACTGGGTGCTGCTTGAATCCTCATTCCTTCTCAGTCGGAGCGACTTTAGGAAGACGGCAGTAGAGCAAAACGATGGCCGGCTGACGATTGCGCTGATGCACTCAGATGTTACCACACTACCAGACCCATACGGTAGAAAGACCGTGCATTTTGGGACGGTCTGCGGGATTTCAGCCCTTCTGCAGGCCAGATATTCTGCCACGAGAGGTCGATTCGTTACCAGCCTTCGCCAGATGGCGAGTTGACTGTACCTCGAACCCATCCTGTACTGGGTCACCTGGACTATCCCTCCTTCCCAATATCGTCGCCCACGGACTGCCAGCGGACCTGCCAGGCTCACCCTCAATGCCGCCATTTCTCCTTCACAGAGCCTCACGAGTGCAAGATATTCTCACATGTTGAAGACGCAAAGGTGCGACACCCCAACGGCACTTCCGGACCAAGATACTGTGGTAAGCCCCTCATTGCTCTTTCCTTCCTTTCTTCCTCCCTTCGTCTCTCGTATCTCTCTCTCTCATGATCGTTCCAGTCCGTTGGTGTCTTGCTGAGGAGAGAGACCTCTCCTTCCTCTCCCGCGGCGGTACCCTGTGGTCCAACGACGCCGACACGCTCACGCAGTGTAATCAGTGGTGCATGCGCGATGGGAGATGCGGAGCGGTGATATACGATATTAAGACCTCCTTGTGCTCTCTTAAGGGATGGAGCACAGCAATCGCTGACACAGATGAAGGCAATGAGGCCACACCACAGGGGATTCGGGTCACACACAGGAACGACGGTCTTATCTTGATGTCAAAGAAGATCGCATGTGGATGGCCGCTGCGGAGAGAAGCACTACCAGGTATGAAGACACCGTGCCTGAGGCGATTTCATCTTCCTTGGTGTCTTCTGCTTCTTCAGCTGTGTTCCGCAAGGACCCAAGGAGCCACAGTGCCATTCCAATGCTTGTTGGCGCAGTCGGTATAGCCATGGTCTTGCTGCACCTCCTCTGGCTCCTGCGTTTCTACTGCATCTGGAAAAACGATACGTCGTGTTTCCAAACGGTTTCAGCTGCTCCTATCGTGTTCCCTGCCTTCTTTCTGCAAGCCACGAGCCCCCTCGTCCCGGTGTACCTGATGAAGCATGGGAACAACACTGAAGTGGCAAAGCGGCCACCGAGGGGACCTCTCGGGCTGTGCTGCAGTTCACCTACTCGAGAATGGGACCTTTCGCACATGAGTGCAAGAAAAGAACGCATATCATCCGCCTTTCCCGCCCGTCTCGGCCGTTGAAGCGCATCCCTCTTCGTCCCTTACCATCGCCACCAGGCGTGGTGGACTTGAAGATAAAAGAAAAGAGGAAGGGCAGGAAGGAAACTGTCGAAACCAGTGAGCGGCTGTCGACGGTCTATCCAGAGGAATCAGCCCTTTCGTGGCTGTTCGAGCGGCCCGTCCCGGAAGAGACAGACGAACAAGCCATCCCTGTGTTGCCTGCTGGAGACGGTACGACCACACGTTTCGTCCCGTCAATGCTCGTTCTAACGGAGCAATCTCCCATAACGATGTCGAAATCACGGCCATTAGAGAAGGGCAGGGGCGTGTATGTTATCAGCCTGCCACCAACGAAGCGAAGAGATGACAGGATGTCTCGTCGAGGAGATTCAGGGTGTCTCGCCGAGGACACTTCAGCCGATGATGTGAACTCTCCCGCCCTTCTCTAGTCACAATGGTCGCCGATAGAGAAGGGCCTCAGAAACAAATGTAACACTCTTCGGCAGGCAGGCAGTCCCTGCTAGCACATCAAGCCTAGCCTTGTCCAGGAAGATGAATTTGCGAGTCAAGCAAGGATAGTAGCCAAAGACAAGCCCCTCCGCCCACTTGTTTCGCCGAGAGTAGCTCAAGACGCACTGAGTGAAAGCCTTTGAGAGAGAAACTGGAAGAGCCTCACATAGGCTCCTCGACGGCTGCTAGAGACGGAGAAAACCTGAGAGAGCCCCACTGGCCTGCAGTGGGACTTTGTGCTTAATCACTTGGCTTGTGCAAAGCATCAAGGGCAAGCGCAGCGAACGACGCCAGTCATTATCGGTCTCTCACAGTGACTCTCCTTCCCGGTGTCCATATGTGCATGTGTGAAGGTGACACATCAACGGAGCAGCGAATGGGGCCAGAAAGGCCACCTCTCTCTTCCCCCCCTTCTCTGTCTCTCTCTCTCTGTCTCTCTCTGTGTGTGTGTGTGTGTTTGACGGCCGGTTCCCATCAGAACAGCACATGCGGCGGCCAGTTGTTGTTCTGTGTGTGTTCTATCAGGCCTATGTCGAACCTCGCCGGGGCCAGCGAATGATCGACGTCGAAATCACCTGGCTGGCTCGAGAAGAATGACAGGAAAAAGGCAATCCTGACGGATTGCTGTGTATATGTGTCTGTCTGGTGGACGCGGTTGCTCGCTAGCCCTGGACGAACACAACACTCGCAAAGAGCGAGGCATCATACGGTGGCTGCAAACCCTGAATTGCGAATCAGATGCGAACAGCCAGACGGACAGCAACACAAACTCTGCGCAAAGGCAAGATTCAATTGCCTCCGCTAATCTGCCGACACCGCTGCCGATTCCCGGACATCATCTGAAACATGGCGTTGTTGAATGTACAATTCCATGTTTCAGTTTCTCGACAGGCGCCAACATCTACAACCCAACGTCAGAGATGCGACAGCGGTACTTATCCTGACAATCCATGGAAACGTATACTGTGGGCGTCGGATAAGTGGGACATTGTCTTAAATGACCTGCATGTGGTCCAGCGTGCCTTGCGATCACTGTGAACCAAAGTGACCCGTCTCGCGCTAGCGCCCCGAGCTGGCAAGCCGAGGCGGCCTGTTAAGTCACCTAGATTGGACCGCCTTCTATATTCAAGTACGGCACGGCGACTCAACAATGGATATGGCGAAAAGGGCGACACCCGTGTGGGACATCCATGGGGGGACTTTGTGTTTTTCCCTTGTCCTTCATTTCTCTAATGCACACACATCCACACATACACACGTGCAGGCATATAAATATTTCTGACATAGACACACGGTGGCTTCCTTAGTATATGTCTTATGTCAACAGTCAGCTCTGACAGGGCTGTATGTGTGCGAAGAGAGAGAGAGAGAGAGAGAGCGCACACATAAACAAAAAAGACAAAAGGCGGCAGACAGACAGACGTGGCGTGGCCGATTGCCACGCCACGTCTGTCTCATGAATGCGACCATCTGTCTCATGAATGCGCATGCAGCGGCAGAGAGAGACGATTGATGGGACGGATGCATCATGGTGCGCCATTGCGTGAAAAAGTTCCATTGTCGTGATCGCGCTGCAGTTGTTCGACAGAGGACGGAAGTGTGTCACTGGCTTCTTCCATGGATCACGCTGTCATCAGCTGGTTCACATGCACATTGACTGTGTTGAATATGCACACATCGAAAACAAATACACCATTCGATACCATCATCTCTCTCAATGTCCGAATTCATGGCTACTTAGTCCAGCCATTAATGGCCCGAGGTCGGAGTTTAGCCGATCGGCATCCCTACAGTGAAAGTTGAAGTTGGTTGCGTATCTATTCGTTTGCGTGCAATGCAAATGAGAACGCCAGGACGTCCTTGTGTGTGTTGCCAAAAAATGAAGCCGTCCCGGCGGCCTAGATGATACAAATGATCATGATTCGTGTTTGCAAGTCACTCTACCTGTCTGCCCCGACGGAAGAAAACAGCAGCAAACATGTACTCGTCTCGTGTGAGTGACGCATGAATGAATGAATGAATGAACACTGCAGCCATCATTTCCGCATACCTCAGCCAGCAACTTCTCCCGTCTCTCCAAGCTGACTCCAACCGTGTCGACGCTAGTGCTTGAAGACATAGTGCTTCAACAGTCCGTTCTAACTACAAGTCAGGGTCTGACTGCGGAGGTGCATTGAGAAACATGAACGCTTCTTTGAGAAGTGCTGTTGTGTGATCAGAGAAAATGACTTCAACATCAACGAGTTTCTTCGCGGGCTTATCGCCCGTATGCCCTGTTCGAACAATCCCTTCGATGCGGGTGTCATCATACGAACTTATTTCGGCCTCGACGCCACCTATGCGAACCGCAGCTGGCTTTTTCTCTCTCGTAAACCTGCGTCCCCCAATTGTGAAAGGCGCGTCGTACCTGAAAATGACAGATAAGTGGGTTACATGACAAGAAACAGCGGCAACGTAAATGGCAGGTCGTGCAAATGGCAGGTCGTGCATAAATGAGGCCACAGCATGAGCCTCAGCATGAGCCTACTCTCTAGGTGCCCTCCACGGGAGGATGTCGTAAATGACAGCCGCGCCAGCCCCTACTTCCTTCGTTTCGAAGCTATCCAGCGCTTCCTCGTCGGGCGTGATAAGGGCCAGCTCATCCTTGTCGAAAGAGACAATCATTATCGAACAGCCGGGGCCGTAGACAATGTCAAGGTTCTTCCCTGTGTCGTCTGTCAGGGTCCTGTATGGAGGCAGAAAGATGCATCGACACATGGTTCGCTGGATCTTTCAGCCAGTCATCACTGATGAAATGAGTGTTTCACCTTATTTCCTCCTGCCGAAGATCAAGGAAGTAAATGCCTTGCTTCCATCTCGAAACAAGGATGTCGTTGTGGAGCTTGCCGCCGAAGCACGTCCCCCGGTACTCTGTTACTCCAGTCTGACAAGTCAGGCAGCGACATGCACAGCGGGCAAGAAAGTTGCCGTCTATGGTGCTCCCAACGACTTACTGTTGACGAAGGAATTTCCCATCCAGGGGTGTATTCCATATTGGGCCTCAAGACATGGTGGTGCCTTCCGATCACATCATCGTTGGGCTTACAGTGATTGGAGACGGGATGCTGTGAGTGTTATACCTACCACTGCCTTGTGTCACCGGTGTTGCGTGCTCGTGCTGGATTGGGGTGGCCATGATGAGCGCCCTCGGACGTTCTGAATATCCTGTCGGGACCTCCAAATTGCGGGCCTATCACTGGCTGACATTGTTTGGGTTCCTCCCCTTTTGGCACAGTATAAGGTTTGGGGAGAAAAAGCGGATTCCGGACATTGTCAAGGTAAATCTCATCCCTACAAGACGGCTCATGTACGGAGATACAAACGTTGCCCCGTTGAGCTCTACACGAATACCATGTGTCAAAGTCTGCTGCTGTACAGCCTCTGTCTTCTGGTTCGCCGTTTACAGATGCGCCAAGCCACGAATTCGGACCGTTCATGATGACGTAGGTTTCGCCTGAAGGCATATGGATGATACCAATCCATCCGTCTATCTGCATGTGTCTTTTAGTGCTAGTGCTACAGGAGTCTCGCTACGAGTAGACCTTTTGTTGAGTAAGTGGAGTCATAGTTGTTCCGCAGTCCGGTCGCCCAGATTGAAATACCCGTAATGCCATCTGCCAGGTCATAGCGGTCTCCCTCGACCTGAAGATGAGGGACAGCTGCTAAGAGACAGCGTAGGCCATCGCACCTGATTCGGATTCTCCACGGGTTCACGAGTTTTGTAGTAGACGTACTCAATCTTACTGCTCAGATCAGGATTGTGAACCTCTATCTATGACAAAGTCGAAGGCGAATGAAAAGACATGTGCCTAATCATCGTCAGCTCCATGCATACCTTGAGCACCGAACCCGTCAGATGCGACTCTGGCAAGCCGCCAAGCCTAAATGGCACATGAAAATGAATAGTAATACACTTCACTCACCCCGGATGGTTCCTGTCTACGCCCCAACCCGCAATCTGGCAACAAAGCGACACATAGGCAAGAGCGGTATGAAAACACCCCTCTTGGAAGTGATAGCTCACCCGGCCATCCCGCATTTGTTTGTGACCCAGCGTTAGCGTACAGGTTGCCTTCGTTGTCAAAGTGTATGCCATTCATGCTATGGTCACCATTGCCGTTGGGAAGGCCCTCGACGAGCGTCTCTAGAGTTGCAAAGTTCGGTCCAGACAGCCTAGAGATCTTCCCCAAAAAAGCGGCATAGTCATTCTCGCCTTTGAAGCATTGGACTCCGTTCCTCCACTGAACAAACACGGCCACGCTTCTCCCCTGTGTCTTGCTGCCTGCTGCGTTTTTTGCTTGACCCAATAGTAGATCGGTGCGTGAGCCGCGTAAAGGTGCGGGTCGAGGGGGTCGCGAAGTGGATCAACTGAGGCCAAACGCAACAGATAGCAAGACTCCGCTGTATACCCCTCCTTTTGTGCTGGGTTTTGCCACACACAGGCGATGCCAATAAGAGAGTCCTCCGGGTACGCCCTACGGATCGTGTCATAGACTCTCAAGGACCGCGGATCTATCTCGTCGTTACTGGTGAACATCACACTCATGAGCTTCCCTTGTGCTGTGCCGACGAAGAAGGTCTTCGCATCTGGGCCCCAGTCCCCCGTCAGGCCGAGACCTCCCCGGAGGAAGGGGCTGAGAAGCTTTCTCTCTTGCTGTTGCAACCGTTCTGCCTCTGTCGTATTCTCCTGGAGTAAGTCGAAGAGACCTGTTAGAAGCGTTTTTGGCTGTCCGTACTTGACGTCTCTCATCTGCGCTGCTGCTGAAACTTTCACAGGGTAGAGGTTGGAGGTTCCCTTTGCCGTCCTTATCTGAATGCCGCTCGCCGTGTCCTCAGTGGTCTGAAGGGAACACAAACTCAGCGTGACCTGGGCAATTTGCTGCCAGCGCAAGATGCTACACATGCTGACCGGATGTGGTCGGTAGTTGATTCGTGTTCCAGTCCACTCAAGTATCCCCGGTTCCGTGCTGTTGCTGTCCGTTTGATCGTCGAGCTTCACCTCGATGCCGTTTAGGAGCAGCGTCGCGTTCTCCAAACTCTGCACCAGGAGTCACGAACGCGTGGGCCAAGCTGCAGCTTTTGCTTCGCTTTCCTTCCCGCGTCTACTTCAGGGTTGAGGAAGCCTGCTCCTTGAATTGTTACATCTTGCCCGCGTTTTGGTTGAATCACATCGGGAGTCACTTTGTTAACGAAGGGGGGCCAATCTCTGCATCTCATCAAGAAGTGCTTCCTGCATCCATTCGCGCTGCCCAAGCATTGTAGATTTCATGGTACCTCTGGCTATGCACTATGCGCCAGTGATGCTTTCCTTTGACCTCAAGCCACACTCCGTCTCGGGATGATCCTGCCTCGCCGACAAGCCACCGAACCTCGAAACTCACTCGGTTGTTGCTGGCTCTGTTATCTGTGCCCTGTTGAGACAGGCTGACTGTGCGAGAGCCATCCTGCGTCTCCTTGCCTTGGATCCACACAGCCGAATTGTCACCTCCTTTTACCTCCAGCATCATCCAGTCAGACGACCCATCCAGAATTTCAATCGTCCCCTGAGAACCAGCACAACACAGGAAAACAACGGGGGTCTCCACAATGAGGGTTACCGTCTCTGATGGCGTCTGCCAATGAGTAATTGTGTCGGTGAGTGTGTTTCTTCCATCCTACCAACGCCCGTATAATGATGTTGCTTTTGAATCGGGAATCAAAAAATGCATCGGCTCCGTCCGGGAAAACGAGGCATGACTTTTGCGGGGTGTCTTCATGTCCGCCTGGTCGGTCATTGATACTCGACGTAACCCACTGAGGCGGCAGAGGACTCTCCTCGCCCTGACGCAAGGGTGCGCCAACGATGGGCTCAGAATCGCTTCCCAACCATCTGGACATGTCGGACGTGGCACCATCATGTCCATCTTGTGCAGCATAGAGCGAGAGAGCACACCCTGGAATCTCGTCCACCGAAGCCACGTGGACGACATGGTTCTCGCCCGACAGCAGGCGCCCCTTCCTGTCACCGATAGTCAGGCTGGCAGTGTGGGTACCGATCTTGAGCGACGCGGAAAACTCCCGTACACAGGCGCTCTCATCAGTATAGCATTCCTGCGTGCCAATACGGAGGTCAAAAGCCCATGGGCTCCTCAAATTGGACTTACTGTGTGTTCGTAAATGGATTCGTCTAACATGAATGTGTATGCAACTACACTGTTCCCCCACTCATGGGTATGCGAGCCGGTGGCCTGCACCACAGCAGACGAAGCAGGCGCAGTGCTTGTGCCCAGGTACCAAAAGCTTCACTTACGTCGAAGCGAAGTTGCTCCTCTCCGTCGCCGTCATAATCGATAGCAGTTGCTTGGTCCATCTTCACGACGGGGTGGAGTAGCACTTCTTGGGCAACAAACACAGGCTCGGAGCCGCGAGGTACAACGGCAGTAAGCATGACATCTGCACCCAAGGGGCCGTGATAGAGAACAGGTGAATGCTAAGCGAGAATGAAAAGACAGACCAAGATAATGCGTCAAGGTGACATGCCAGGCGACAGAACGCACCTGAGTCGTATGGAACCCCATCCCTACGGTAACAATTCGTTCGATAGATGAATTGCATGTCTCCAGAAACAATGGACACTCGGGCCATCTGGAGAGGGATTCCGTAGGCAGCAAGGTTAAATTTGCAAAATTTGTAGGCCCCCCGCTCGGAGGCTCACTCCTCCCCACCAGCAGCAGCCACACCTGAGACCACAAAATGAGGAGCGGGCGAGTGGCTAATGCTGTGTGGAGGTCGGTGGCACTCACGTCATTTCGGAGACGGACGAAGGCAGCATTGGTTTCCGGCCCATGGCCGCCATCATCCTGCTGAGTGTCCGCTTCTTCTCGAAGCTGCTCGCCTTTCCACGTGACCGCGATGTACGTGACTGTGATGTTGACACTCTTCTTCGGCTCGATGTTTTCGATGTACTGTCCGTCGCTTCCAGACGCCTCAAGTGTGAACGCCTCAACATCGCCATACAGCTTCGGGTAAAGCTTGCCCGACATGCGCTTAGGATCCTCATTGACCAGCTGAAAGGTAGCGCTACTTGTGAAGGAATCCAGATAGAATATGGGGAAAGGCTGCGTCTTTTCAGATGGGCGTGACGTGGAAGAGATCGATAGCCGGACTGAAGGAGGAAGGTTCTCAGGCATGGAGGATGCTCCGTCTGCCCGACATACAGCAAATCTCCTGCCCGCAAAAAAAGGATCATCAACATCGGGAACACAGAGAGAAAGCAGGGAGGCTGGTTACAAAGACAGGAAACCACATACTTAAGGACGTCCCGTGCCGAGCCAGTCGCTTAAGCCCACCTTTTTGTCCGTTGTCTGCCTGGTGCCGCTTTTTGACCACAGGTGATGCTGAACGCGCAATAAGTAACAAGGCAACAAGTACTGCCCGCCTTTCTTTCGAGCAATATGTTTGTCGAAACGATGGGCCTCTTTCGCTAGCCCCATTCGCTGCGCTCGTGACTCGTTCCGCTCGTAGGGGCTCGGTGCGTGGAAGGGCTTTATGTGTCTCTAAAAGAGCCATGTGTATATGTTATTGCCTGCGGCGTTTGGACTGTCAAAAATAGTCAAGGGCTTGTAGGGCTCAAAAGCTTTTTTGTATTAGGGTCGGCCAGTATCAGGGTCTGCCAGTATCAAATTGAGGTTTCCCCGGGGAACCCGATCTAGGGTTTAGGGTTTAGGTACGGCCTGAGGTGGGTCTTAGGATATTACTTAGAGAACCTCCAAATCGGACAACGTAAAGCAATGGACAAGCACACGGGAACAAAGTAGATAAACTAAACGAAGTGATGAAAAAAAAATCGCCCACGCATTGGCGTTCTTTTTTCAGCTTCTTCCTCTGGGGGATCGTTTCTGGACGTGAATGATGTGAAAATGTAAGGGATTTTACTTCGGGACTCGAAGAGAGTAAAACAGACGCCCTGCGCGCCGAGCGGCTGCGAGACACCAGGGCCAGGGCTGTTCTGGATGGCTATCTGGCACAGCCAGTACACACACCTTTCAAATTCATTCATCAAGCAAAAGGGCTTTTCGCGATCTTTTATGGGCGGTCTCTCGAGCGAGGTGCCTAGTTTTCACAAAGACACATGGAAAAGTCCCTGCGACACCAAAACTCCCAAATCACTTAATATTGGTGTCCAGACCCCCTGGACTTGCTTTTGAAACCTCGCAAACCTCCCAGAAAACCAAAAGAGTGATTCCCGCAATATCACAAATCCAGGGGGAACCTTCTGCGGGGGGCCCGGTGACACCGATTAGACAAAGACAAAGATAAGGGGAAGAAAGAATCTGATAAGGAGACAAGGGCTGACGGCCCTCTGGATCATCAGCCTCCTCGGCCTCACTGGTCATCTCCATCGGGCTACCATGTCAGTCAAACCCTGAAAGCCGATGTTTCCCCTCGGGACCACATTTTCTACTCTACGAAGCTCTTTCAAGCTTCAGGAATATTACCGAGAGCACCCTCCGCCCCAGCGACCGCTGTTTCCGTGGGCAGCAGACGTCGCTGGGGATAGGAGAAGGTCCGGGCGGTAAGGCTGCAGAAGAGCCTACCTATCAGAGACTCTAAGTTGTCCAGAGACGGGTGGAAGACCGCTTCGGTAAGGTAAAAGCGCAAGCAGGTGAGACGGGCCAAAAGACGGGCACTCGGGGTCTCATGTATACATGTATGGTGAAGCTCAGGCATGCTCTGGTCCCCCAAGTACATCTTCAAGATCGCGGCCCTTTGTTGTTTGGGGAGGCACATCGACCTGGCACACACAACACGACATGGCACACATACAGACACTGAGCATGTAAGACAGACACGTACACGCACCCACAACATATACCTGGCACACCACCTCCCCTGGCCCGGGGGGAGGCTACAAGCCGGGCGGCCCTGCGCCATCGGGGTCACAAGCAAGGGCGACCAGAACGTCTGATCTAGAGTCTGTCACGTACTCGCACACTGTCAGAGAGGCACGCGCACCATACGAAATGAATGACAGAAACATGCGACAAGCCAAACACGGACCAAACGACCGATCAGACACCATCACACAGACGACTGGCAGCGCAAGGGACGTGGTTGCTGCCGGAAGGACGCCCCCGTTGCTTCGAGGAGATTTCCACTGCAAATCGCACATCATTGTGGCCGTCAGGTGGAGGCGGGTACCGCTGCGAGGTTTTCGAGGTGTTATTTGGTCCCAAGACGCCTGCTGGCGTGGCCGGGCTGCGGTACTAGGGTGGGTAAAATGATGCAAAAAAAGTCGAACGACGGGTCCAGGTATGGGTATGAGTATGATAATGGTATAACGCAAAGGGCAGGAGCATCCTCGGCCTCTCTAATCACCGACAGATAGCCAGTGTGTTACTGGAGGCGTCCGGTGGGCCCAAACCCGTGTTGAGGGACTGGTAGATGCACGGGACTGATATTGATATTAAAATCATGAGAGGTTCCGAATTTGTCATGATTTTCTGCGGCCTCTATACTGGATTTTCTGCGGCCTCTATACTGGAAGTCTGCAAGTGTGAGTGTGTGACGTGTCGACAAAAAGGGCATCGATATGTCGGCCGGTCTCTGTGGCGAGTGAGCTCACTACAGGCAGAATACAGCTGAGCAGACTGCCAGAGTTGTTGCCTTGGTCGGAAGGGCAGGCATGCGAGCTGCGATGTGATTCGTCGAATGTTGGAGGCGTCTGCATGTTCCGTATCACTGGATGAGTGTGTGCCTGCTCCACGACGGACGAGCCTGAGAAAACAGGTAGCCTTTATTCACTCAATTGAGTTCTTGGTCACACGAACCTTCGTATCCGCTGGAACGTTCCACGGCCGATGAGCTAGTAGACAATGCTTTCAGCTCATTATCTCCATCACGAGCAACCGTGACTGCATGAGCGCATCGTGACTCGGTGTCGTCTGAGACGCTTTTGGGAGGCAGTGTCGCGAAGGGTGAGGGCACACCCCGGAGCCATGGATGCTGGAGAGCCTGCTCTGCCTGAGAGAAAACAGCAGGGAGAGGGGACCTGGATACAGTCACTGCGATTTTCCTGTTCTGACCGTCATTCTCATCTCCGGCTGGACATGCAGCATGCGTAGGATGAAATCTTGTGCGCCCTTGGACACATTACCCCACTGAGAAGACGGGAAACTGCAAGGAGCAGTTGATTAAAAGGCCGCGTCGATATCGGGTCGCCATTGCTTCTTGGTGTATGAGCCAGGTACCTGATGTCCCGTTCCACGATCTGCCGATACAGCTTGTGCAGGTGTCGGTTGTGAAAGAAGGGAAGCGATCCGGAGAGCAGCACATATGTCACGACACCAAGAGCCCATATATCAATCTGAAAGAGGGCAATTAATTCTTTGCTTTGCCGCTCGTATTTCTTGCCTGTACCTCTTTCCCGTACTCTTGCTGCTCGATGACTTCTGGAGCGAGATAGTAATCTGACCCGCAGATGGACTTCGCTCTTGGGAAGCTACCCGAGTCGCTGCGAAGGAACGACGATTACGTACTCTATTGCACGAGTGTAATGGCTATTCCTGGGCACCTGATCTTGGCTAGTCCTAGGTCCGATATCTTCACATCCACATCGCTCTCTCTGCTTGTCAGCAAAATGTTCTCAGGCTAATAGACGGACAAAGCGAGACGAGTCGGAATAAAAGAACTCCGAATTCCAACCCACCTTCAGGTCTCTGTGCATTACGCCTCTGCTGTGCATGAAGGAAATGGTTTCAAGCTGCAGAGAAGCTCACAGCGATTGAGTGTACAGCGATTGAGTGTACTTGATTCCTTCGTTCGTGTACCAAGTGTCCGAGGACTATTTTGGCTTCACGCTCGGAATAGCAGCCTTTCTTGTGAATCCGGTCGTACAGCTCTCCGCCCTCGCACCTGGTGTACGCGCCGGCATATCTCGAAATCGTGTGAACCCGTGGTGAGTCCTTCCATGTATTCACTTACAAGTCTAGCACCAATTTGAAGCTCCCGTTTGCTGTTTCCTCATAGTCGATAAGGCTGACGAGGCCGCGATGCCGACCGAGATGCTGCATGATCCGCACTTCAGTCCTGAGTCGTTCCCGCATTGTCTCATCAATGGGAGGAGACATCTGAAACAGAAACTGAATCCCATGTGTCCATTGAAGCGCTCCCCTCTTGCGCACTTTCATGGCATATTTTTTCGTTGGATCCTTTCTATCCCACACCTCGACGACCTACCGACACACATAAATCATCGTTTGTTGTAAGCTCTCTCGTTGCATTCAGACCTCCCCAAAACGACCAACACCAAGGCGTTTCCCCATCTCGTATTTGCTGTGGACTCCGCCGGCGAAAAAGCCCGGACAGGCAAAATTCCCCATTATGCGCCAGGAGTGCCTGCGATTTCACGGAATTATGCCCTACCAAAAAACCCAGGGTAGCTATGGAGCAAGAAGAGCCTGATCCCGTTGCCACCGTCATGCAAGTCACAGGTGGGATCCGTAGGGCAGTGATGCATATCTCCATGATGTGGTTGCTTTGTGATGGACGTCACAGGTGCTCAGCAAGATGCTGCCGCTCACTATCTCGAGGTGAGAAACCGCACGTTACGCCACTCGCGGAGCCTTTGTCCACTCGTGTTGTCTTCCATCGTTGGTTAGATGAGCGGTGGTGATCCCGAGCGTGCTGTGCAGTTGTACTTCGAGTACTCGATTGGCGGTCCCTCTCCTGCAGCCCCTGTTCTCGAGGCAAACTCGGCAGCCAACCACCGCGAAAACGACGATGACGACGTGCAGATGACTGGGTGAGAGAGATCATGTGACGCGCGCGCCAGTCCAATCAATGCCGCAACCGATGGTGCATGCAATTTCCAGTGTTCGGGGTCCCCACGATCTTGCGGCGTCTGCCGTCCCCGCCGGCATCCCTTCGGCTCTCCGACAAGTGCTCTCATCGATGGAGCAGCAGCGGGCGGGAGGACAAGTGAATGGTGGTGACGGCCGCGGCAGGATAGCGGATGATGACATACCTCCACAACTGCTGGCTGACGCGCAGGGAATGGTGGACGAGGACGACGTGAGGGCACCCATGCCTCAATACAGGGATAGACTCATCGGTAAGACAGGAATCTCCCTGGACCAAAACCGACCAATGTTCGCTCACGTGCCTTGGCATTGTAGCAGATTCTGGCCCGCATCGGATGGGCATGGAAGCCAATCGAGCAGCAGACAGTGAGCGATCAGACGCCGTGTACGTCCGTATCCACCTCTGTGGTCGTGTGTACTTTGCCAGTGGCTCTGGACGCCATGATGAACTTTGGAGAGCCGGCCAACCCAGGAGAGGAGGGTAAATCCTAGTAGCTAGCACTGACATGCATTCACATCTCATCCTGTCTGCATTGTTGTGGTAATCAGCCTGGGGTCAGATGTTCCGACCCCCGAAGGATCTCCTGTACGTATCGGACCTCAAAACGGTAAGCCCCGACAAAGGTAAAGAGAAGCTCGGTGAACTGGCGCTGTCTTCATGTGAGTCGCTGATTAGGCACTGGAGGAGGCCAAACGTCAGGACAAGTGGGTGCTGGTAAACATACAGAAACACGATGAATTCCTGTCGCTCGAGGTGAGTAGTGGAAGCAGCAATGCAGGCAACAGGATGGCAACATTTTCTCTGGTCGGATTCAGTTGAATCGCGATGTGTGGTCTGATGAGACGGTCAAGGACATTATCCAGAGTTCGTTTATATTCTGGCAGGTGAAGATGATACCTCACGGCATCCACTGATATCCAGCGGATATCTTCACGCTTTGTGATTGGCTTCCAGCGTCCCTCTGACACCGCTGAGGGCCAACTCTTCATCCAGCGATATCCGGTCGTCTAGAAGTCAAGAATGCACGACACTCATTCACAAATTTGCTTTGTGCGTTGCAGCCTCGCTCGTATCCCGTGATAGCTGTGTTAGATCCGCGGACAGGACGACAGGTACAGTCGTGGGAGCCGAAGAAGTTCAGCACGGCTGTGGCTGCTGCAGACTTCCGTAGGTTACACAGATATGCATGAACCGACACTTATCACGCACATTACGCTTCTGTTTCGCTGCCTTGCCCAGTGACATCATTCCTCGACAAGAACAACTTGCACCGCAGCGGATCAGATTTTAAACCACAGGCGAGACAGCTGACTTGCAGAAACCGAAGTTTGCATGTGCATCAACAGTGAACTTTTTGTTCATCCATTCCTCAGGGTACTTCTGCAGCAAGCAACGTATGCCCTCCGGAGGTCACAGGTGTCGGCTCCCAGGACGCCAGTGTCTCAGCTGCGAATGCGCCCGGGGCTACGGCCAACGGCATGGTACCACCGGGTGGGGGGAAGAGCAACAAGGGGGTCTCGGAGGAATACGGGGATGAGGGAAGGGAGGACGAGCCCATCGATCTCGACCCGGACAACCTCATGGCTGACGAGGCACTCAAGCACTACGAGAAAGTGGATCCGACTGAGATACCTGCAGAGCCACAAGGTCATGGAAGAAGGGATGGCGTTATGCTGTGTCTTTTCTTGGATGGGTGGCTGTTGTCTCGCTTAGAGTCTGACCCGGAGTCGGTGAAGATGCGATTCCGCTTCGAAGGGAAGCAGGTGGTGCGTCGGTTCCGCAAGAGCGATGCCCTGCTCGACGTGCTCAAGTACTGTGCGCTATATGCGAACCTGCCCCTCAAGGACATTGAGCCGGCAATCATGGGCAGGACCTCACTCAAAGTCATGCTGGAGGTGGGTTGGTCAATGGGCGCCAGAAAAAAAGACACACACACAACAACTCTGTTCTATCTGTTCTCATATTTGCTGGTCTGTTAGGGTGATCGCGACTTGACTGTCGGTTCCGCTGATGTTGCTGGGTCGCAGATCCAGATCAGAAAACTGTGACTCGTGTGTTCTCGTTATGTAGTGACAAAATGTCGGGTACACAATTCTGAATTATATGTGTGATGGTATGTGCATTCATGTTCCTAACTGCTCGGGACCACGTATGTTGCGACAGGACATGATATTTCCCAATTGTATTCCAGTCCATGTCCTTTCGCAACGCAATCCACGACACATGAATGCAATGAAGACAAGCGAGACGCTGGGCGGCGATAGCTGCGATGTCACGGGGGGGAAGGCCACATTTATCGCGCCATTTGTGTACTTCTCCACGGCTGGCTGTGTGTTGTAAGACTGGATGAAGACTTTGTGCACGTTGGAGAGGCATTTCGACGCATCCATCCTCGAGTTCAGTGTAGCAGCGCAAGGCCATCCAGCGAGGCAAGACCGTCTTCACCGGCATCCTCAGCACTTCGTTCCTGCACATGAAAGCCATCCACATGGACGGGAAATACTCTCTCAACACGCTGGCGTTTGATGAAGGGGTCACCAACGTGCAGGAGCTGAACAAGGGCGTGCAGATAGTACAAAGGTGGGTGATGTCATTCGTCGCCTAGCTGACGGCGAGAGCCCGGTAGTGCACTGGGTGTGTAGCGCTGGTGTGCAAGGGCGAGGTCGCGGTCCGCACCCGCCTCTCCATCGCCGACGGGGCGCATCGTGTGGTGGGCTGGGTCATCCTGCTGTGCTACATAAGAAATCAGAACGCCGAGAAGGCACAAGCTACAACGAAAGTCAGGGGGGGGGGGGGGGGGGGGGCC